AGCGCCCGGGCGGGCGGACAGAAGCCTCCCGAGGCTTCGGAGCGCCGAGGGTTTTGCTTGCCCGCGTCGGAAATTCGACCTGCACGCGCCCCTCCCCTGCGTCCTCAAAGACAGGGTCTTCCGATTGTGTAAAGATGATTAAGAATAACAGCAACAATGATAATAATAATCCCAACGAAACACGAAGCCTTTAATTAATTAAGGCGATTCAAGACGCACAGCTGTCGCCCACCAGGCCAGATTTCTTTTGCAGCGGGCAGAGAGACAACCCGTCCTTCCTTCCTGCAGCAGTGATCATTTCGTTTTCCCTGATCCGGAGATTAATGTGCTTTATTCTTAATTCGCCATCCGAGGAGGTCAGAAAGCATAGATGGGCAACGCCCTTCCCCTACTCATACTTTTTAGAGGGCGCTCTATGAACCTGCTAAAAACACCGGGTAGTTTTGTCGGTTAGGGAAAAACAACAACTCGGTACTTTGGGGTTATTGTTACACAGATATTGCAATACTTTTGATTTTTTTTAAATAGTAACATTCTCTTTCTTGTTTCCCAACCCACGTGGCATCCAATCTCCATGCAGAAAGTCGTTTTTTTGACACGGAATAGTTCTCAGTCTGAAAAGGATGATATTATTATTATTATTATTATTATTATTATTATTATTATTAATCCCTTGGTAGCTATCCCAGGAGAAGTGTCTTCTGTGCATGCACAGATGAACGCTCAGACAACATGGGAAGATCCCAAAGTACAGCGCCAAGCCTCTGAAAGCTTTGAGCAGTGCATTTGTAGCCCACTGCAAAAGGCAGCTTTGCTTGGAACAGCTTCCATCCTGCCACGATACCTTTAACCCCATCAAACAACATCTGCCTATCCCAGGTCCTTGGGAAGAGCTCCATAAGTGGATAAAAATGCCAAAGCCAGTCTAAACATCTGGCTGATTGTGCGACCTACCATAATAATAATATGCTCCCCATCCTCTTCAGCAGTAACAAGGACGTGATTCCTCTAAAAATTAGCTTTTTTTCAGTCTTAGGCTGAATTTGTCCCTTTTTTCTGTCGCAGCGAAGTCGGAGGTGGGCGACTGGGCGTGGGGAGGGCTCTTCCCGCCAGAGAAGTATTTCCCCTCGGAAAAATCGATTCTGTGACCAGGGGACCGTCCTCCTGCCTGGGGCGAAACGGTCTAGTTGAAAAATAGAAATGAGATGGGTTGAAAACTAAACGCCCTGTTCTTGCTTGCTTGCTTGCTTTAAACAACGCGGGAAGAAAACATTAAAATCAACCCACTCCAAAATGGACCGATTTGCGAAATTCTGGGTACCAAAGTGTTTTGCTCTTTTCCAGGCTTCCTTTCTTTTCCGCAAACTCTCTCACGTCCCATTGCAACTCTCGTGTACTCTCTCGCACGCCGCAAAAACTTCCCGCGGGGCGCGTTCGAGTCCTGCCACCTGGAGCCTGCGCTCCCGTCACTCCACTTCACTTCACTTCGGGTCTCGCTCGCCAGGAGTCCGAATCTCCAGCACCTTTTTTGTTGACAGCTACTTGTCGTGGGATCTTACCCCTCCCCGCCCCAGACACACAAACTTTCTTTCCTTTTCTTTGTGTTTCCTAAAGAGCAGTGAAAAAGTGATAACAAAGCGGGGTGCTATACGTTCGGCCCGCGAGGTCATCCCTCTCAACAAGCTTTTTAATTTCGTCAGATAAATCAAGATAAATCCACAGATCGGCAGGAAATTGCCGTCAGAGCTGTTTCTTCTCCTTCCGAGTAAACCCGATTGGGATTGCGTTGCTGGAAGCGCTTTAGAAACGAGCAGGCTGGATGTACTTCAGTTATAGGATCGACGACGTGTATTTGTTTTTACTCTGATCCTAACATCCAGTAACCAGAGCCTGGCACAAAAATGACATCCTCTTAATTCAAGAGCCTAAAAATTTCTTTTAAATGGGTGAATTGAGAGGAGCTCCCAGGCTTTCCATTGAAAGAACCTCTTCTTATTTCTTCAAGTTTTATTAATTTCCAATAATATAATTTAAGGTGGGGGGAGGAACATTGTTGCCACTGACAGCCAGAAATCCAAGCCGTCAGAAATCCTTGGCAATCTACTATAGATCACTTAGAGATCTAACAGTAGAACCAAATCTGCCTTTTCTCTTTCTTGCTCTGTTAATTCTCATCACAGAGAAAAACCGGCATTGTGATGGAATAAACTATAATAACTTAATTTGGGACAGTTTATATTCTCTATCTATTCTGGGTGTGCAATATGTATACATCTGTACATGGTAACAACTGTACCGTTTATGTTTATACCGAAAGAAACAGGTGATCAAGGGAGGTGCACTAGTTGAGCTGTATTGTAACTTTAAAAGAATAACTGAGATTTTACTTCTCTCATAAAGTAGATGCACTTGGATATAAACTGACTTTTCACAAAGCAGATAAGGGACCGTTCACACAGATACGATTTTGCTGATTTCATCTGAGACTGAATCAAACCTTGGTGCTATTCAACATGTGCTTCTGTTTGCATGTATTTCAAGAGCAATGGTATACACATCCCCTTGCATCTAAAATCTTGTAAGTTAAAGATCTATAAATATAGCCTTCCGATTCATTTTTGTCATTTTGCCTGTAAAAGATGGAAGTGTGTAAATATCAGCCAAAGGTCTGGAGAAGAAGCACCAATTGGGCACATTGAAGATCACTGTCTATATAGATAATACCTAACTGATGTCATGGCATGTATATGGATTGTATTTTGTCTCTTTTGCAAATTGTGTGTATTTTATGTGCACTACCTAGTTCCCATAATAGTAGACAGTGATTACCCCCTTGGATCTATGCACATTCTCTAGTTAACTCACATTAATCACAGCACATGGAGAGCTTATTTCTCCAACAGTGTGGCAGTGTTCAAATCTGCCTGTAGCAGCATATGCCAACCTGTTAACCAATTCCATTTAGTTGAGCTCAACTTCTGATGACTTCACGGACACTTTCATGTACTTCTCTTGACAATAATATGGAAGTGGTTTGTCACTGCCTTCTTCCAGGCTGTCCCTGTCTAGTCTACTAACCCGGGGATTCTCCCAACCAAATACTAACCAGGTCCAGCCTGCTTAGCTTTTCAAAATTTGCCAAGGTCATTTAGGTGCTGCTCTTAATCATACTTGAACCACAGGTATGGCTATAG